AGGATGTCCGCGAGTTTACCACATCGCTCTTGTAGTGTTATATAATGGCTCTCGCAGCAGCGGATTTTATCAATTCACGTCCACTTTATCTCATTTCACCCTTGAAATGTCACGTGAATCAATTTAAAATAATAAAAATAAAGTATATGCTAATGAATTTACTATTTTATCATAAATTAATTCACTATATTACGTGATTTGCTCTCTGTCACTATCCCAATAGTAGCTTAGCTCTTGAAAATTTTAAAAATACTACATTAAAAATAAGAAAATAATTATGCCACTATAACTAATAATTCCAAATTATTTTAGCAAATAATTGATGTTACTACATCTTGTCTATAAATTGTTTTATTTTGAAAATCCCAATAAAAATAGCAATGATTGTGCCATCTATACTGCTTCGTGTAAACTTCATAAAAGCAAGAAGCAGGTTTCTCCTTTAGAATACTTTACAGTGCGCAAGTTTACGTTCTCACTGCACCTCCACTCTTGCTGTTGCTTGCTAGTTACCTCTTGGCATTGTCTGCGAGCCTGGTCGAGGAAACCCGAAAAACAATGTGCACACAACAGGAATGACCGACGCATGGCACCGCGATGGTTTTTGCTGCCTGTACACGTTTTCCAAGTTTACGGAAACTCACGAAATCCGCAGACACCCGAGTTTTTTGATTGGTAAAAAATTTGCAAATTAACGAATTTCAACCTCGGCTACAGAAGGAACAAAAGCAGGTAGAAACATCGAGTTTTCGGCATATTTGCAATTGGGATCCGATTAATCTAAATGTGATATTTTAGGTTTAATTTAATTTATCGTTTAATTACTCATCGTTTTATTAAAATCATAATTATATTATCAATACTTATATAGTGTAAATTTAGAAGCGCTAATATAAAGTCTGAACTTCGTTCACAGATGGAGATACGTCCGCAAAATGTAGGGTTCCCCTTTTAGTTCTAAAAGTCTTTTATAGAGAAACCTGCAATTTGCGTTTGGTTCTTATAGTTTTCTCTCTTTGACTGCCACAAAAAAAAACTGCAGTGGGAGTATAAAGACTTAGAGGAAGCTCAACTAGGTGCCTCTGATTTAGGTTACTGTAAGTTAGCTCTCAGTGCATTCAAATAATATAATTTAATATTAACTATATAACTCCAAACAGTCTATTACATACCACAGCATGGTAATAATTACGGATGTAATAATTAACATTCTTCAACTTTACCTTTTTTTAACTTAATACCGAGTAAAAAAACATCAATAAAAACTAAAACAAAAGGCACGTAGCAGGCTGAGCGCTGTAATAATATATTATGTATAGCTCCTTTGGGCTGGCAGGAGCTTTCTTGGTATGCCAACAAAGAAATTGCAATATTGAAGTGATGATTTAGAAACACAAAACACGCTCGCAGATTCCAAGCACGTCCGAGTTTGGCGTGTGGATTGAGCGAAATATATTTTAAAGTGGTAAATTTACCTTTAAAAAGAGAGCCACTTTATATGGCGCGCAGGCAGCCCTCGCTTTTGCTCGTTGTTATTTTCTTTGTGCGCCGCCACTCGGCGAAGGCGCGAGGAGTTTTGGCGCGAGTCGGCGAAACACGTCGTACGGTGCGAGCACGAAAAAGCTTCGAAAATTCTTCAAACATTCGTTATGTATAGTGTTCGTCGTGCGGTTTTCAGATACATTGTTGTACTCGCGCTGAATTTAAATTATTCAGGAAGTAGAAGTTGCAGACGGCGGAGCTGCAATCCGCCGCGGCGGTCCACTCGTAAACGAGTGGCGCATATTAGAAAAAGAAATACGAAAACGGCTGCCGTGTTCAACGATGAAATATTGCACTCTTCTCAGTCGGAATGAAAATATTTAATATATATACTAGCAATGTTTGCTGATTCGATATGTTAGCATTATTGCAATCTCGAAGTGGAATCTCATATCACGAATATGTTGAATGTGTGAATGTGGAATCTGGTATCTAGATTCGCACGAATATTACAAACTTTTGGGGGGCTTTTTCGATTTCTTTTTGGTGCCTTTGTTCCATTATCCGGCACCCGCTGGTGTTGTGTTGTGCGCGCACGAACTATCTAATAATAATTCGACACGGATTCGCGTGGCGAATTGTATTTGGCAAACTTTTGCAATAGGTTGATGCGAGCGCGACAGGCATGCGGGTTGAGGGGGTTGAAAGATGGCGGCTGGGCGCGGGACGGGAATCGGGGCGCGGGCCGCTCGGGGCCGTTCAGGCACGTGCATAGGCGTAACGAAATAAATTTCGTTGCAAAATAGACATGGGAATAAGTTTTCGTATAAATCACAGCGTGATCTAGCTGCTAGGCCGCTGCCGCTGCCGTCGTCGACGAGCCGCGAAAGGAAATTTCGTAGTTATGTATTAGTCCGGGTACAAAACGTCGGAATAGGAAGTGAATGAGTGGAATGAGTGAATGGCAGGTTGGCAGGCGGGCGTACACTGCCTCGCACGGATTCTACTTTTATTCTTTTTTCCCGTTTTTACATTATATCTGCGCAGCACAGCTTAGAGCGGCAAAATGCTCGCTGAAAAACTTTCTCGCAGGCTAGCAGGGTAGCATTCTACGTCGGTAAACAACACCCGAAGACGAATTGGAACAGACGAGGCTAAGAAACTTTTATTTGTTCAATTTTCTAATAAAAAGTGCGCGTTTTATCACCGTTATACCAGTTGCCTGATTAAAATATAATTAGTTATTTATTGCTAACCACCTTTGTTATTGCTGTATTTTTTACAATGGTAGCAGTGTAATTGCGCTGGTGTTTGAACTGTCATCGTCTTTACGAGGGTATAAAATGTGCATTAATGATAGTTGTAAAATCGATGTATAACTTCGTCAAGTACATTTGCGAACATTTATTGCCACGATGGATGTGCGACGAGTTGTGTTTAATGAATTATTGAACACTTTATTGACATGTTATTCTCTGTCGTCTAGGTACCTAAAATATCTGTCTAGTAAAATATTAAGTGTGTTGGAATATAAATGAAATTAGAAGACCAGAAAACTTATTTTTATAGAATTTGTGCTATGGCGGCTTTAATATTTGTGTTTAACTTGATGTTAAAGTTGGAAATCAAATTATGCTGAATCAAGTTCAACATGGATCATTTTTTATTTGAATAATTTTCAATAGTACGAGGGGAATCTTCTGATTCTGAAATATTAGTTGTAATAAACGCCATAAACCGACGGATGATTTACACAAATAACGAATCGAATATCAATACCATCAATATTACGAACTGCCGAGGGTGCGTCTCGCCTGGCAAACGGACACCCACGATATTCTTCATGAAGTCGGCCGTTTCATCCGTGATGGGAGCGAATAAAAAAGTACCGGATTGCCCTTGCCGAAGCTAAACTCGCCTGAGAGGAGAAATTCGAAAACGCAACCACCATTAACCCTAATAGTTATAGGGGCGAAAACGGTGCCTTCTCCTTCGTTTATCCCGGAGTTCGAGCCTATTGCCTGCCGTCCGCCAAGCCAAGGAACTGCATCCCCTTCTGACTTCAGTCTACAGTAAAAATACAGGCTGAGGATAGAACTTTTTTTGAACAGTAAGGATGTAGTCTACACATTAGAAAAACCAACCAGGGACTTTTTTAAACCGTGCTGTAGGCGGGCAGTCCTGGTTGTAATAGAAGGTAATATTGTCAAAGAATATATCCGCCAGCAAGGATCGAAACTGCGTATAAGACGACAACGTAAACTACGAGGGTTACGTCGAAATTGATTGCAATGAGGGCGAAAGTTGGATGCTGCGGGGTCAATTACAAACGACGTAGCAGCTATATGTGACGCCGCCAAGAATGGATAGCGCCTGCCAAAAAACCTGCCTGTTTATTATCCGCCGTAAATTTTTACGCACTCAATGAATCCGCGCTACACATAAAGTCCACATCAATTTTCGACTTTAAGATGGAAGTAAAACTCATTTGGGAGCGGCTAACTGGCGAGATAATCCAGGGCTGGCTAATTTCGTGAATGGCGAATGGGAGAAGCCTCAAAATTGTCAGATCGCTGTCACGCTAGCGTATTGTGCGGTTCTGCCGCGATTTGTTACAATGAAACCGGGGCACCAAGAAAAAAGTTGTTTTATCGAGGCGCGGGCGGAAAGGACGGCTCGGGGACACATTCGAAGCGATCCGGCGGCGATCCGAAGCAATTACTTATGTTATCGGAAACGGGCGCGCCGTTCGTCCGCAGACGAATTAGACGAAAGCATCGATTCGATGCGTGTCGTGCGATTAGTCCCGGGCGTCCATTGTGCCTTGTGAATAATGATTACGTTTGCCCGGGCGCGATCCCTACGGCCCCAGATTGCGTCGAATTTCTTTCGGATTTTCACACTCTGCTTAATTAATTTGTCAAATATACCCTCCTAATTCCCACGATTCTACCGCGCATCGTAAAGCCAAAGAAAAAGCCTAGCTGTAGCAAAGTTTGTTGGAAAACACTTCACCACAGCTAGGGGAGTGGGTTATTTGATTCTCGGTAGACCAATTTCTGCATTGGTCAGTGCTAGAGATTTCTAAACTTGATTGTTGCAACAAACTTTCGAAATGCTTTATTCCACAATAACATTATCAAAGTTTATTATCTCTTGGGAGCACGACGTACGAGTGCTGTAGTGGAAGTCTCTCCCTTCCAAATCCGGAAAATTGTTATTGCAATCGAATGACTACTGCAATTTTATCGATTAGTAACGTGTTTCTACTTCAGACTACATTTTATAACTTATATTCCCATGTTACACATTAACTCACGTTTTAAACTAGTTACTTATCACAGTTAGATATGTAGTACGTGCATATCAGCATTAACATTAACATTAACATTTTTTTTTTTAATTTTTGATGTTGAACAGTTATGTTAACGAGTGTTGACGTTGAACCAATAATGATAAGAAATACAATATATGCAATGTGGCTATACAATAATACTTTATATTCATAATGTTAACAACATAGTGACAAGGTGTATCTTTCTTTATTTTTATTGCAATATGTACTGTTTTCGAGGAATTCTACTTGTACTGCAGTTAATATTAGGAAACGTTTTCACCGCGAACGGAGATACTAATAAATTCGTTGAGTATAAAAACCTTTGGTTGGAAAACCTGGCAAAAGCCGCACAATGGACTCAGCCGACCGAAAATTCCCAATTTAAAAATGTACGGCCCAATGAGCGATGCCAGCCAATCGCACGCAGTTACGATTTTGTGATAGTCGGCGGCGGCACCGCCGGCAGTGTGCTCGCAAACCGACTCAGTGAAAATCCACGCTGGGACATACTTGTGCTGGAAGCCGGCGGCGATGAGACGCCGTTCACCCTGATTCCAGGTGCTTACCTGACATCGTTGAGGTCGGAGATGAATTGGGGTTACACCACCGAGCCGCAAGTGAACGCATGCCTGCAGATGCCTGGGGGACGATGCCCTTTGCCAAGAGGGAAAGTCTTGGGTGGTGAGTCGGCGATGAAAGACGTCACCTACGTTCGTGGCAATCTGAAAGATTTTGATTCGTGGGGACCATGGTGGTCACATAATGCTCTCAAGTACTTTAAGGTTATGGAAAATGCCACGGCATTAGACGTAGACAGAGCAGATGAGAAATACAGAGGGTCGCATGGCCATTTTCACGTAGAATATCCTAAGAATCCAGGGCCGTTGACCAAGCAGATATTTGATGGGTTCAAAGATCTCGGTTTTGATGTTCTTAAAGATTACAACGGCGAGACACAGATTGGAGTGGGTAATTTGCAGGCATATACCAAAAATGGAGAAAGAAGCAGCACAAATCAAAGATATTTACAACCGATTATAAACCGGCCTAATTTAAAAGTCATAACAAATGCTTTAGCCACTAAAATTATTTTCAGTAAGAAACATCATGACCGGAAAGCACAGCAATTAGAATATTATTATAATGGCTCTTGTTACTCTGTCAATATTACCAAGGAATTACTACTAACAAGTGGGCCTATCAACACCCCGCAATTACTAATGCTTTCTGGCATTGGACCAGAAGCTGAACTAAAGCGCCACAATATCCCGCTAATCTTGAACCTATCAGCGGTAGGCCAGCACCTCGAAGATCATTTGTCAATTCGTGATTTCACTTTTCAAGTAAACAAATCCTTCGGATATGGAAAATTTGACGATGAGCTCAAGTCATATCTGGAAGACGGTCGTGGCTGCCTCGCCGAGCCACTCGCCCGACAAGTCTCATTCGTTAATACCCGGTGCCCCAACAGCGCAAACCCAGATTTTGAAATGATGTTTGTGGAGGCCAACCCGCAGCTTTATTACCCTCCCGCAAATCTCAGCGAGCCACACACCCTCATCGAATTTTCCGCGCAAATACTGCTGCTGCATCCACGATCCAGGGGATCAATCAGCCTGAAGTCAAACGATCCCACCGATTATCCCATCATCGACCCAAAGTATTTGCAGTCGCGGCACGACATGCTTGCGATGGTTCGCATACTACGCTTCATGAAGAATCTCGAGCGCACGAAGAGTTTCCGGAAGATGAACGCAACCATCGTAGGTTTAGTTCCGGATGCATGCCAAAATGAACATTTCAACAAGGATCCGTTCGAAGATGACGAGCTGCTCGTCTGCATAATCAAACATAAAACCGCACCGATGCAGTGGCGGATTACGGCCTAGGCGCACTAGGCGCGCGCCTAGGGCCCCGGCTGCCTGGGGGCCCCGGCTGCCTGAGGGGCCCTGGCACTTATATGTCCCATATAGACATAGTAATTCCACAAATACTTCATCAGTTGGTTTTGACCTCAGCCTTTATGAATAACGTATTGGTTTCACTTGGCGCCCAAAACGGCATTTCACACGTGTCCGCAAAGCAACAAAGCAACCCACTGAAGCATAATCCGCCACTGATTGGGAGTGTTATCAAGTGATTATTCATTATAAAATAGCTGTGCAGCGGGGCATGCATGTTTCAATGTGTCGCGTGCCAGCCACTTTGGGTGGGGCCGAGACACGTTTATTCATTTCATTCGCTCTCTTTCTCTTTCGACTCTCCTTGGCAGTTGATTTTGTTTGATTGCTGACTTGGATATCTGTCTTTTCTTCACCTTTTGTGGTGCAGTGTCTGCTGTTTCTACTTACGGATTTTGTATGAAATACCGGTATTTCCAGACGGATATATACCGTCCGCTATTCCTTGTGAGTAACGGAACGCTTCTTGATACCTCCTTACTCAATTTTGCAGTCGTCTAGTGGCCTGTGTATACCAAAGCCTCAAGAGCATGATGGCAAGACATTTGCTACGTGTCAGTGGTGTGGTTTGTACTTCGGTACAAAGAAGAAAGTCAAAAAACACGTAAATTCATGTCACAAGCAGTGTAGAAATATTAATAATAGTGTAGAGATGCACAATGTTCATCCTTCACGCATTCTCACGCGACGATCGAACGGCAGATCGAGAGAAATTCTCTGCGTTGTGCGTGAAAATGATGACACCGAGTGGTTCGATGGAAGCGACGTGGATTTTCAACAAAACATAGTGCCAACAACTGACCTGCAAGATGCCTATCCAGTTGTTAGTGTTGAAGAAAGTATTGCAAATCCGTGGTCCGAGGACAATATATATTAAATATGTTCATGGACTAGTGTAATACTGTGTAATAGTATAATTTATGAATTAAATAAATGATAGTGATAATAGGGGCCCCCTATTATTTCAGGAACCAAAGACAAATATTCTTAATAGTGTTAGTTTATTAAAATCATTAAACGAATTTATAACAGTGGTCAGAAATAATTTCGAAACTGTTGAAGAGGAGGCTAAATCCCTAACAGCTCATCATTCTTATAAAGAGATGAGACAAAGAAAACGCAAATATCCATATGATGAAACGAACAAAAATGATACAGCATTTTCGTCAAGAAATTTTTTTATTGTCAACATTTTTTATATTGTATGTGATGTATTAAAATCAGAAATTACTCGAAGGGGCGATGTCTATATCAATGTTCTTAACGATTTTAAAATTTTCTTTGATTTAAAATTAAGCCGTGTTGAGACTAATAATTGTGTAGAGCGATTATTGTCTAAGTATGAAAAAGATATTGAGCCAGAATATTTCACTGATGAGTTAACTCATTTTCTAAAATACATACAAGAAGAAAATATTAGAGATCCACATGAAATGTATGCAACATTAAGTAATGGTCTAAAATCAACTTTTCCAAATATACACACAATACTGCAAATTTTTTTGACCTTGCCCGTTTCTAATGCAAGTGGAGAAAGGACATTTTCAGTTTTAAAACGAGTCAAAAACTATCTGCGCAATAGTCTTTCACAAGAGCACTTAAATGACTTCGCATTAATGTTCATAGAAAATGATTTTTTTAAAAAACTAGAGTACGACAAAATTATTGAAAGATTTCAAGCCCAAGAGAATGCAAGAAAAGTAAATTTGTAATTTGTATTTAAATACGATCACCGTTTTTGAGCACACGTACGATGAACTCGAGAACCAAGATAGCATTGAAAACGATAATCCCATCGCGGATAGTATGGCAGAAAATTTTACCTGTGATATTTCGATCGGTTCTGAAAACAATTAACGCACAACACCTGGTCCATCGCGAAGAGCGAATCGGAAGATAATCCATTAAATTTTGGAATAGTGCGTGTGGATTAGGCCTGCTGGGGATACCACGATAAAAAAAACGCGTACTCTACCTCATGGTGGTGTGGAAATGAGTTTTTGGCACAAACGAATGTTGAAGTAGACTTTGCGGTGCCCGTACGCTAAAACTATTAATTTAACTGGGCTAATAACCGTTTTTGAAAATTTTCGGATTTAGGGGCCCCAAACTTGATTTGCGCCTAGGGCCCCACTGAAGCATAATCCGCCACTGCACCGATGCATCATCAGATCGGCACGTGTAGAATGGGCAGAGACAGGAAGAAGGACTGTGTTGACGAGGACCTCCGAGTTCACGGCGTACGAAATCTGCGTGTGGTTGATAGCAGCGCGATACCGAAAAGCACATCCGGGCATACCATCCCGGTTGTCGTATTGATGGCGGAGGCAGCGGCAGATTTTATAAAAGCGACCTATTAAAGGATTTCTGCCATAACATTACATAACGCGGGCGTGATTAATCAATTTTCAAATTTTCCGGGATACACAACCCAGCCACATTGTATATGATACATGTCAGTAACATTGGCCCATTGACTCCGTAACCTGTTCACACAGAACGACCACGTCGGCGTAAGCAATTAATTTATACGCAATGAAATGTGCGCTACGTAATCAATCTATCATTACGTCCACGTTATTGGAAGTTATTATGAAATACGACATACGCTTGTCACGGTTGTGATATATTCTCCATCTAATTATCCAAATATTACCATTAAAATGTATGCAGAAGATTTTATTTTATTGCTATCAAAAATAATACACATGGGTTTTTTTTTCCTAAATGCATGTCAAACCGGTTAAGCTTTTCCGCAATTTGTTTGCCGTGGAAGCAAATTCGGCATTGTACAGCTTACGCACTTGATGTGCAGCGCAGATTTTTGTTTCAGCTCACAATCATGACATAATCCATCATTTCACTCGATCTGAATAAATATCAAAACGCTTGCCAGTTGAACAACGGCCGGATTTTTTGCTACAATGTTTCTTTGTCCCAATGGGAAATGTCGATTTTGGGCCGGAATTCGAAACTATTGTTCACGGAAATGTGCGATACTGATATGGATATATCTACCTATAGTCAATATAGATATCGCAGGAATGCCGCCGCGGCCAGCTTATTGCGGGCAGTCGTAGTTGTAGGTGTGTAGGAGTGGCGCGCGCCGCCGCTTGTTTGCCAACACTGGACGCACGACCAGCAGTGAATCTGTGCGAACCGACCGTCGTTCACCGCCGTCAGCCACCCCAACCATCGCCGCCGCCACGCCGCCGAGCGTTGCACCGCTGCCGGATTTTCCAGGCCGGAATCGAGCATTACCGTAAACAGCGGTCCGTCATTAGGCAACTTGTCCATTAGTATGATGCCGATGATCCCGGATAAATCCGACATTCCCGGCGGACCCATCTCCGGAACCGGCTCCAATTTCCGCCCGCTTCTAATTATTACATCATCATTCTCGGAATTAGCGCCAAGGCTACCCAGTCATAGATATCATCAATTATCTTATTAAATCCTTTCGACGTGGAAAGCCTGTCTTGCTATAAGCTCGCCATATCGGCGCTTTGAAACCTTAGAATCACCACCAATAGAACCATTACTAGACTTTTGGCGCTACCATTGCAAAGCACGTTACTGCTGCCTTAATATATATTAATTTGAGAAAATGTTTCAAAAGTTGATGACGTATGGTATTTAAACAAAACGCGGTATTATTAAATGGAATACTGTTGGATGATATTATTCAAAATTTTTAGTTTTTTCTGTGAACTATTTGATATTTCCAGGCACGAATGACGAAAATGCAAAAAAGCAAAGTTTATAACTACAAGTTTGACTAATTTTACCCCTTGTACTAAGTTTCCGCCTGGTGCAACAACGCAGCAAAGAATTTCCTATTTTGTTAACACTCATAAAACTCTTATGTTTTCCATAAAATTCTTTCCTCTCCTGGGGTTGGCAGGGTGCGGATAGCAGCAAGTGGCTATAACCTCGCACAGGCTTGCGTGACGCGAGTCGTGACCCATAATTTATTAATATTTTCAGCCACTTTCCAGCGTCTTGAAATTTTCAGGCGCATAATTCGCCAGAGAGACATATTTAAAGTTTATGCATAAGTAAATACGTGTACCGTACTTGCCGCGTACTGACGGAGCAGTTTTGCTTCAGAACTGAAAGCAAAACATCTTCAAACGCAAAAAAAGTTTCGTTTGCACGTCGCGCTCGTTGTCGGAGCCTGGAGACACTCGACGGACGGAACTTTCAACAACTAAACGTAATTGACTCTGAAATGCGCTCATCATAAAAATGAGCCATTTCTCCTCTTTCTGCGTGTAAGTTCCCACCGACTGGAAGTTGAATTTTTTTAAATTTACTTAAATTATTCGCTTTGCTATGAGCACCACTAAGCATATTACTGAAAATGTAATAAATCACGGCAATGCCAAATTCTAAATGTAAATCCCTGGTTTTGGTTGAATTTAATGCAAGTTAAGTTAACGATTCTGGCCTAGATCTGCTCCAAGTGAGAAGGTTTAGGCAGAGCAATATTACTCTTCTTGACTTGGGCTGGGGCAGCTCAAAGAAGTCAAAATAATTGCGTATTCCCATCAGTAATTGCTACTTCCTCGAGTTGCGGAAGTTTTCTGGGTTCCGGCTGGCCCAATGAGAAGTAGCGAGACGCGCGAACAGCACCAAAGGGCCGCATCAGCGGGCGCCCGCAGAGCGGAGAAACGGAATGGCGTAAGTAAAGTCGACGGAACGATGCGAGCTGCTTCCTTGGCCAATTAGCAATGCAATGCGCTGGGGTATCATCATTCGACATGAACATTGTTCTCGCTTTTGCATCTCTATCTTGTTTCTTGCTGTTAAATATTGGTTGTTTTGTAATTGCATAAACTCCATGAATATATTCCTTAAGTTCAAACACAAACACTAAACTTCTAATTAATATTTAGTAATATTTTCCATTTTCAATTATCCACATCACATTTGGCATCCCGAAAATAATATTTAGTTGAATATGGAAACATGAAGTATTGAACTTTGTTTTCTGACTTGACTTCATGCTGAGATTTCTTGGTGGGCCTCTGAGACACATTTGCTAGATAGCATTGCAAAAAGAACTATTAAAACTTAGTTACAGCTAGTAAGAATGTCTTAACGATCTCACAAGCTTTAGAAAAATTACTGTCAGTTTTTTGTATTCATTTATATAGTACAAGAATATTGTTAACGTCTTCTCTTACTGACAAGCGTAAAATCTAAAATTGTAGAAAATCAGTAAATGTTGAAATGTAATTAACGTGTCTAGCATTTTCTTCATGTTGCTAAACTCTTTCCTCAATGAAATCGGAGAATATTAGAACTCGTGATCAAATGACTTTGCAGATTTTAATTTTGTCTGCAGTGGAAACCTCGCGCAAGATGCAGCCGATTCGATAAAACGATAAATGAGCGGATACTTAGATTGGAAAGAAAAGTTTGTTTGCGATTTAACTTACAGCACGCACACGCCGAGTGCAATGAATCTGTATAGTCGCTTCCGGATTGGAGCCTCTGTCGGAATGAATCAAGAATCGAAGAGCATACTGTTGTAATACAGAATGTTACATTGTAAAACACTTTTTCTTGCGCAAATACTTTTTTAGGTCACCACTTTTCGAATAATTTAAGATAACGTGGTTTATTAATATTTATATAAGTTCTTAGATGTAATTCAGATTGTTGGGTGTGCGTATATTTGATTTTCGTAGTGATGACACTAGGTATTAGATTTGGCTGCGATTAGATGTGTGTGAGTTGTGTAGAGGAAAAGGCTGGAAGGAAGTTTGGAGTGCGCGCGAAGCCCGGAAATTGAGTGAGTGAATTTAAGAGTGGAGCAAATATCGTCGGGATTCTCCACATCCCCGTTGCTGCACGCTCTCAGCAGTCCGCTTCTTCGCGGATACGATGGGCCAGGCGAGGAAGGGATATCGTTAATCCGATATTTGTACTTGGCTTCGTTTCACAAAACCGACACGATACGCTCCGGTGCGGATTGGACGCGCATTGAAAACATGAAATACCGACCGATTCCCGCCGTCGTGTTTACGCTTATTTTTTGCTACTTATTTCAGCTCGCGCACGGCTTCCTGCTCCTCCGCATCCTCGAGCGGGAAAGCTCGTTTGGCCAAAATGAAAGGACGAGCAATTTGTACCTAAACGCACGCCGCATTCGAGCAGCGTCGGCTCCACTTAAATACGTTCGAATGAAATGGCTCGGATTAAATAAAGCTTTTCAGAAGCAAATTGCGAATATATATTCTTTATTTGTATGTGCTTGAGGAATTCAATGCGAGTTTGGTATTGCGACGCGACGGTACGATGCTAGTGAGCTTTTCTTTTACGCCAAATAAAATACCATGGAATGCTGGAATTAATTAAAATCGCTCTAATTTCATTGGCATTTCTTTCGATTCCTTGCTTTCAATACCGTCTGGCTTTCTTCTGGTAGCGCTCGTGGCAAATAGTTGCGTTTCCGTTTTGTCCTCTCTAATTTCGGGCAGCTTTCCAATCTCCTGCCGCTTGCAATGTACGTCAAAGGCTTGCCTGCGTTGCGTCACTCTTTCATGTGGGCGGCTTTTTTTGTTCAAATGTGTTGCACTAATAGTGACCACATTCGCAATTCTTCCTTTCTTCGGGCGCTTCGCTTTGACGGTTTTTTTGTGTGTGCTATTTTCCGTTATCTGCGTGTGGCGAACCAGCCCGGTCGACAATGTAGCTGGGAGCGGGCACGGGGGGCATCGAGATGGCTACAGCGTTGGTGTGGGAATGAGTCGGAGTCGGGCGGTGGACGCGCATTGTGGAAAGTTGGCCGAACGGATGCTCGCTAACATGGTGGCGGTTTCAGGGTGATAAATGTGTTTTTAATTGTAGCCGCAACCTCGGGCAGTCCCGGTCATTTTGTTCCAACCTCCCTCGCGATATATCCACAATCAACTTGCGCACCAACTGCGCGCGAAATCCAAGCGTCGACAACCAACCATATAAACCGACACTATATTCTCGATTTCAGCTACAAACTGTCTCGCCACTGGGAATAAATTCTAATATTCCACACTTTCCTCGCGAGGAACTATTTTCCGAATCAATTTTACAACACTGTTGTTCCACGATAAAGAATCATGTATTCGGAATATTTAGGGAAATCTAAAACAATATTTTTGCTACACTATTATCGGAAGCAATTGGTATATCGGACGTAACATACGTTCAGTTTTGTTCCAACAACGGCATGGAATGCTTTTGTTTCTATTGTGTTTGAGTTTTTTTTGTTTTGCAATGTGGCGCGTTGTATGCAACATTGTTAGCGTGCTATCAATTAAATTCGTTTAACACGACTAAATTTACAATATTTATCACGTCTTCAAATGAGTCAGTACCATAAAGTAAAACAGCAATAATTTTATTTATAAAAATGTTTATTTCCGGAAAATTATTGTTTTTATCGAGAAATTAATACATAGTAGAAAATCTAAATGATAAACATTTTTAGCGTTTGCATATAAATATAAATATTTTATTTATATTAAAATGCAATAATATATAATTGATAGAAAGTAGATACGCGCATTTACAAACTTGCGCTTTAGCAAACAATACAATTAATTAAAACATGACTATGTAATCAATTTGACAATAAATAAATATATTTATGTTTAATTGCTTTCAAACAATTTCCGGAATACAAATGTTAAATTTTTAATCCCTATTCTAAAATTTC